ATATTTTTACTATATTTTTTGTATTTAGTATTTCCCCATAAGTCATATTTTGCTTTGCTCTAATTATGCTATATTGTGCTTCCTCATTAATTTTTTCTAAGACTTTCTTTATTTTAATATTTTCTATATTATTCCCTATAATTTTCTTTGTTTCTGTTTTTATTAGCCATTTCTGGTTTTCTTTTTTCCTTCTTGCAAGTTTTCTTAGCATTTTTTTTGCCTTGAACTTGAATTTTCTGGCCAATTCTTGTATCGTTTTCTTGTTTTTCTTGATTTGTTTGTTTCTTCTCCACTTGTTTAGATTTTCTATACAACATTTTTCTAATCTTTTCTCATGTTGTTTCTTTTGTAATAGTAAGCATTCTATTATAATATCTAGTGCATAGAGATTTTGTTTTGTAATATTTGGCAAAAAGGCCTCAATTTTGCTCTTCACAATAAAGTTGTGATATCTGTAATCTAACTCTTCTTCTATATCTTTGCTGTATTGTTTTCTATATTTCTGCTTATATTCTTCTAACTTTTCTTTGTCTACTTCTGCTAATAGATTCTCTAGTGCACATCTTGCTACTACTAAAATTTGTTGTTCTTATTTATTTCCAGAAATTTTTTTTTCAGTTTGCTTCACGTGATTTGGCTTCTCTATTGTTGTTGTTTTCTTTATTGTATTCGTCATGTGTTGCTTTATATGTTTGTGTTGTTTTTTTTTGTTATATGTTATATGGTTGTATTACATCTACAGATCTGCACTACAGGATCAAGTGCTTTCCCAAAAAATTGCTTACAGACGATGAAAAACTGCTATATTTCCAAGTTTTTCTTCTATATCTTGATAGGTTTTGACTTCTCAACTCTAGTTTTTTAAGAGACAGAGTGTTGTTTTATGTTTTCCTTCTTTTTACTTAGTCGTGTAAGCTTTACTTCTTAGTATTGTTTTTGAGTTCTGTTGATTTTGTGTTTTTGTTTTTCCATAAAAATTTGTGTTTTGATGATCAGCAGAAAGAGTTGAACTGCTTTATATTTTAAATTAATTGCTAAGTATTGTTTCTTCTACTTGTTAAAATTTGTTAAATATATAGTTTTTTGATAAATTATAACCATATTATATCTAAATCAACTCCTGAAAAATAATAAATTCAAAAAATATAAATAATAGAGCTCCAACTATTGCTCTAGACTGTCTTAGACACCATATTATACTAGACCTATATGAAAGGTTATAGATAGAATAATATATGATTTAATAAATAAAATGATAAATAATAACTATAATAATAAACCAAAAATATAATAAATGATAACAAATATTTTTAAACTAATTGTTTAAAATTTCTAAATTTAATTTACTAATTCTAAATTTCTGTTATTATATAAATTTAAGTAGCTTGTTTTCAATAATAAGTTAATTTGTATTATCTAAAAAAATTGACTAATTATTTTTAAATTTTTATAAAAATTTTCTCATTACAAAATTATAAAAAGAATTACTATAGACTAGTGCGTTATCATGACTTCTAGGTTAGCAAAGTTAATAAGTCCACTAGCTGAATTTGAATTTACAACCTCACAATAGCTATATATCTTCATTACTTTACTATAGTAGATATAATTAAAAAAATTTTTTGTTGTATAGTTTTTGAAAATCAATTTTCTAATTAGAGTATCCAATAAGATTAAGCTTCTTCATATGATCCAAATTAAAGTTTTTGTATTTAATAAAATATGCACATCAACTCTCCTTGATGATTACTCATACCAAATTTTCGACTAATAAAAATGGAAAACTTGTTGGAGAATAGTAGAAAAGACAACTAAAATAACGGTTTTTACAGAGGTCAAGGTTTTTATTTTTCTTGTTATTTTCTTCCGAACTCCTCTGTATATTTAGCAAGCAAGTCGAAAGCATTCTTGTGCAAGATAATTGGCATAAGGTGGAGCCCTTGTACAAAAAATTTTAATAGAAGCATAGCTGTTGCAGCAGCTTCTGCTAATGAAGTTAAAGTTAGTTGGTTTAAAGAAGAACAACAAGCAAGTTTTCAACACACTTCTTATCAAAGTTTAAGGCTACCCACAAACCGAAACCCTCTTCCAAAACCTACTCTCTGTTCTTTACAAAATTTTGACGAAAAGTAGAAAATCCAGTATACCCCTATCAAAGGATCGACCAAAACAATTACTGCTAAAAAAGGAAAGTCACGTACAGGAGTACGTATCTACTTTGGGATAAATAACGTCTGATCAGTTTCTTCAAGAGATTACGGTGTTTATACCAAGCACCCTAGTGCACTAACTTTGCCCAGGTATAAGCTATATCAAGCACGAGAATGCGTTGCAGAAGACTGTGCCGAAAACCTAATGGGACTGTAAGAGAAATTTTGAACTTGGATCTCTACTCAAGAATGGATATATTATAGATCCTAATATAGACATAAATAACTAGCATAGAGTTTAGTCTAGTTTATTTAGTAGTACTATATAATTATATTTAATTAAAATTATAAAATATATAATTATCTTGGTAACCAATGATCCAAATTTAATGATTTTAATATTATTTGATTCGCCTCGATAAGATAATTCTAATGGTATTAAAAATATTAAAATTGGATTACTGAATTATAAAAAACTATATATAGTACAGTTTTTTTAAATTTTTGTATTTTAGTACGTTATAAATAGTTTTTTACAAATATCTCATAATCTAATAATCTGATTTTAATATTTTTAGCACTATTTGAATCATCTTATTGAGACAAATTGAATAATACCAAAATCGTTAAATTTGGATTATTATTATTATTATTTTTTTTTAATAACTAGCTTTTTAGGGCTAGAATTTTTTATTCAGGAATATAGAACAAGAGGTTTCTTGAGAAATCCTTATATTAGATAAGTACATACTAGCTACATATATACTTTTGGTATCTATTTTAAGTAGTTTGCCTATTTCTAGATTCTACACTAAATACCGTACCTGTAATCTAACTACAAGTGTTACTTATTTAAACTCTCTATAATATATTTCTATCTGTATCACTGGGTTATCTCTGATATAATTATCAGTCAAAAAAGCCTGGATACATGCTATACCCTGAGGACTAATTTATCTTCGAGACGTTATTTGCTAGAGCTTTTCATACCCACAATCTGGCTAATCTAGACTTTAGTTGATATGTACAGGCCGAGGCTTACTACTTGTAGCCAGTTTCTATAGTAAAAGTATTTTTTGGCTATTTTGTTTTTACTAGTTTTTTTGTAATATTTTAACTAACTATAGCCTGATCACTACTATATAATCTATTTTTACCCTTATAGAGTTTACCTAAACCCCGATATATACTTTACAGACTATTATTCATTACTTGTAACAATCTCTAAACTACTAATTCAGATGGCTTAGAAGGGCTGTGACCTGCTTCTAGTCTCCACAATTAGATATTTTTCTTTCAGTTACTCTCTAGTAGCCTAGTTGGTGAAATGTCTTGCTAAATACTTCAGTTCTATTCAGTTTTTATCATTTTACCAATAATGATTCTTTATATAATACCATTGAAGATTTGTACCAGGAACAGAGTACAAAGTACGTAGAGTATAGTTTACAAACAAGTTAAGTGAAGTATACAATTATAAGTATTTGATTAGACAAAAATACCTTGTAATTTTGTGTAGCACTCCAAACAACACTAAAAAAGAATACTATCTGAAATATACTTATGTACATATGTGCTAGGAACGAAGTATTTAATGCCAAGTTATTTGATTAGATGATCTTTATTACGTATTCAACTCGTGATCTGATTTTAACAAGTTTTTACAATTTTCACCATAGCTTTTATATTTGTTACCCTACTCAATTTTGTTGTATCGTTGTGTATATGCCAGTTTTTTGCTATTTATAGCTTGCAGTGCTTTGATCTTTCTGGTTTTTTTTATATATCTATTTATACCAGGAACATAGTGAAATGAAGTGTATAGTTTACAGCCAACTAACTGTGTACAAAATCTTGCATATTATTGAGTAGCATGATCTTGTCATGTAAAAATTAGGCCTCCGCATAGGCCTGGGCTACCCGTGGGTACCTGTAGGTAGGCCTATAAGGACCGGGCTAGGGTATCAAATCCCAAGTCCTAGAATAAATGTAAAGGCTCGAGACATTAAGCCCTTGCATAAATGGGTAGGCTTGGATAGTACTGCTTTACTCATGGGTACTCATTATTTATGTTTTACGTGAATTTAAGTTTATATAATTGGCTAACTCTATACTTTGGTCCCTACTAGTATCTTCTCTCTGGCTTATCCATACTAATTTATTCGTTTTTGGACCTTTATCTAAACCATTGGTCTTCATCAACATCTTTTATAAAATTTATGCTAAGCTTCAGTTTGTGTCTAACCCTTATAACTTATTATTTAACAGGATTAGTAATAAACAAATAAAGAATCCTATAGATATAAAAATATACAAAATGACAAATAAATATTGGAACTGTTTTTATGTCTTCAAATCTTCACCACTAGCTTAGAAGTCTTATACAAATATCATGATTTCTCTAGAAAAATTGTAACTA